ATAAACTTCTACTCCATTAATATTTTACAAAAGTGAGACAAAAACAACAAACAAACAAACAAAAATATTGAAATGTGGCAGTAACAGGAATTTTCCTTCAGTCAGTAGAATAAATCATGACATATGGAGTCAAAATCATCCAAAATGAGTGCTTTCCAAAGCAAAATAGTCAATGTGGTCTTACGTAAACTCTGTTTCTGTACACTCTGGCATCCACATTACAGAGATTTTATCCTATAGGATCTTTAAATTTGAGGAAAACAGCAGGGGAGGTGTGCTAATTGGTCAGTAGCCTATGAGTAGAAGCCATTAATTTTTGTCCAGCTTAGTGTGTTGCTTTGTCTCCTGCTAGAATGAATACTATTAATAAAATGAAAATGAACAAACATATCTTCCAGGCACACATTTTATGAGTATTATGAATTAGAAGGTGAACTACTTGCTTAAATGTTCAACATTAAAGACTCTATGTGGTGACTGATTCCTTTCCTTTGTTCCATTATGGATAAAACAGAAGTGTTCCAGAAAAATGAAAAAAGGGTGTAATACAATACAGCTCATTTCACTTTCTTTTATCTTTTCTTTCTTTGTGTGTGTGTGTGTGTGTATGTGTATAAATGTATAATACATGTGAATGTGTGTATATATAGTGTATATGCATATACAATTAATATACATGTGCATGTAGGTATATGTGTGCATCTGTGAATGTGCTTATAGAGGCCAGGACTTAGGTACCATGGATGTTAGAAATCAACCTCACTCCACCATGACTAAGGTTGCAGATATGACAAATAACACCAGGAGTTTTACTTAAGTGCCAGGGAAGTGAAGTTAGGTCCTTAAGCTTACATATACTTTCCAAACTGATATAAACCCCATCCTCTTTTATTTTAATTTAAATAAGATTCTGATTTAGGATGCTGTCCAGATAAATTTTTGTAAAATATTAACATTTTGTATCTTCATTGTTCATTTTTTTCTCACCCTGTATTAATACTAAGCATCCACCAACTGTACCAAAACTGTGAACATTTTCAAACTCATGCTATACATGAATGAATTATTTTATGTGTAACAACATGAAAAGTAACACATGATTATTCTTTCTCTCTATCATGTAGCAGCAGCATCAATCAGACTAAAATCCTTATGATAAAAAAGACTTCAGTAGGCAAATAACAATCTGACTGAAAACTGTTTAAATGGTGATTGATATTCTACTGTGCTTAAAACCTTCTTGCAGCCAAAATACCCTCAGAAGATGGAGTTGTTTATACTACTGTCTGTGAGGAACAGCTGTTTTCCTCTCACCATAGTCAGAGGCACAATAAGCTTGCTGAAACATTTGAAAATCTTAGACAAACATCTGCTGCTTAAAGCTCAAAGTTTCGCAAGAACAGGTGTGTTTGAAACAAAAATAAAAGTCACAACTGTAAATAGGGTTGTAACTTAGGTATACCTTATACACTATATACTATGTCCACGTATGGTTATCTAAAATAGCGAGTCATGGTATTTATCATCAACTTGACGATAAATCACAGTTGTTGACTCCACAGTGACATCTAAATTTTCTGAACACATACAACTAGCATGTATTTCTGGTGCTGATGGTTCATATTAGGGACTTGTCTAGAAAAGGCAAAATTATTAAATTTTTCATTGTTAAAATATTGTACCTAGCTAAACAGTATTTTGGAGCTACATAGTAGCTGTGATAATGTTGAGATACACTGTCGTTGATGCTTAGCTGTCATTTTTCTCTTCAAAACAGCCAGAATGCCTCCTTCTGTAGAATATCACTCTCTTTTAGCAAAGGAAGAAACATGAATTGATACCATCTAATTACATAATACTGGAAAGATACAAAACACTAAAGGAAAACATTTTGAAAGAACGCAGAACTTTCACTACTAAATGTAAGAGAAATTACAAGGTGGTTAAAGAATTATATAGTTTAAATTAAGGGAGAAAACTGGAAACAAATCAAGCCTAAAACAGGACTATTAAAGTGTAAATATTGACATATTCAAAGCATGGAAGACAGTAGATAAGATGAAACAAGCAGGGATTCGTGTATCAAAACACAAAATTTCAACAATGATATTAAATAGATCGAAAAGAAGAATATCAACTAGTTTGACACCATTTCTATATATATGAGGTAGATAATAGATAAGTGATGGACAGACAGACGGACAGTCAGTAAGTCAGTCAGAAAATCCATAGATATGGTAGGGGAGTGGATTCTCAAGTAGCCTTCCTGGCCAGGAACTTCATTTATTGCCGAGGATAACCTTGAAATTCTAATCTTGCCCCTACCCTTCAAACTGATTGCATTATGAGTATGCAGCACCATGCCCAACAACCACATTCTGTTTTGTAGTATTACAGGTTGAACCTAAAGCTTCCTGCATCTTAGATAAGCATTTCATCAACTGTACTCTATCTCCAGCCTCACCATTTCTAAATTGATGGAAGATAAGCAAAATAATACAATGTGATGTTTCAAGACATAAATGTGATAAAACTCATAAAATCAGTATGTATAGGCATAATACATATATAAATTAACATTTTTTTGTAATCATGAAGTGGCACAAACGTTTTAAGGCAGAAAATCCTAAAAGTTTTTAATTTTGACTATAACATTTTATACCTTGAAAAACTGTCCAAGAGGTGAGGCTGGAGAGAAATCTCAGTTGTTAACAGTACTTTGCTGCTCTTATCAAAATTAGGAGTTTACCACATCAGGCAGCACACAAACCTCTCTAACTCCAGTTCCAGAAGATCTGACATCATTTTCTGGTCCTTGTGGGCATTGAATGAATGTGGTATAAGTACATTCACGCAGGTCCACATACATCCACACAGCTCCCCCCCCCCAACACACATATAAAATTAAAATTTTTTAAATCTTAAGAAATTGAAAATGTCTAAATATACTTAAAATATACAAACTAAATAAGGGTCATGAATTTATATGTTCAAGAACTTTTGAGTGTGATTAAACTAGCTAACAGGGGAACCTTCAACCCAGATTCTCTAACACCAGAGTAAGGGATGGGAGGATCTCTGGGGCTATCTTAGAAAGGCTGTAGGGGAAAACCACACAAAGCAAAGGGACATAGAATCCCCTTATTCTTTTTCTTTCTACAGTTCCCTCCCAATATGACAGAAAAAGGATGTGTACCATAGCATTAATAGTTTGTGAATCAAAGTCCCTTTGTATGGTCATAACTCAACAGCTTCTGTTGAATTACCTGTGATCCAGGAATCTACTGACATAACTGTGTCAGTTTAAGTATAGTTATTGCTATTTGTTTACAGCTAATAGGACATTCAGAATTTTTTCTTTAATAAGATAACAGATTCTTCTTTTGTTTTCATTGAACTGTCCTTCAGTATTCTACTGGTGGAAGCTCAAGCTCCAGGACTACAAGGTTAAGGTTTATGTAAAGGCTGCTTAAAACTCAGTCCATTGTGGAATAGCTGCGGAGCTGGCAACTGAGACCAAAGGCTGTCAGAAATCTGTGGTGTAAAATAAATCTGTATGTTCAGTAATGCTGGGAAGGAGAAATAGTTAAGAAAGAGAGGCATTACTTCCTCTGATGTGGAAAGATCCTATAGATTCTAACTTGATTGTAAACTTCACATAGAAGACATTATTACTGGTTCCTCTTTTTGTTAATATTTGACAAGTTTCTGGTAGCATCACACTAAACACACAATAAGTTGGTCTATGGCAAAGCAAGCAAGTCATGAAGAAACAAGACCTCTAATACAGAGCCCTGAGGAAGTAATCAAAACCCATCTTTTCTATTATAGATGTAAAGCTTTTAAGACCGAGATGGGCTCACACATGACCCACACACCCACTTGTCTCTACTTATCCTTCAGTCCCTGCCTGTTAAAAATCGTTTTTAAACGTTTTTCTCTTATGCCAGCGAACCACCTTGGCTCCTTTGGAACCCACAGCAGCAATCACCCTGCAGTAATTGCGGAAGCAATGTGCCAACAGCAACCGAGGAGAGATGTAGATATGGAAGGACAGAAAAGTGGAGAGGGATCCTATCTCTAAATAACTAACCGAGAAATCCCAATGAGATCAATATCAGTCAATTATCCATCCCTGCAGTGGAAATTGAATCCCACAACTCAAACTTTCTTTGACTTTCCTCTGTGACGTGAGGAAAAAGGTATTAGGCACTAGGTTAGGTCATTGCCAAGCTCTCGGTGAGAAAAATCCCACTTCCTAAGGCTTCTGTCTTCCAACTCCTTTAAGCATCACTTCTGCAGCATTGTTCAAAAGCCTGATGTAAATGTCAATACTGGCTCCTAATTTGAGAGGAAAAGAAAGAAAAGCGGTAAGTGGTTGGGGATGCTGGAATGCATGGGTAGAAGAGAGAGAGAGAGAGAAAGAGAGAGGGAGGAGGGAGGGAGGGAGGGAGGGAGGGAGACACAGAGGATCTTTTCTCTTTACTTTCACAGCAAGTAGCAGAGCATCAGCTGGGGACGCTCCAGCGACCAAGGACCACCCAGGCCACTCTTATAGGCGAGCTTGGTCACAGGCCGGGGGAGGTGCCTCTCAGACCGTGCGGGTAAGGAGCTGTCCGTCACCCTGGTGCTGAATCCAGCTCTCGCGCCGGAACAAAGTACTTTAGGCTATTGGTGGAGCTGGGCGCCAAGATCTGAACCTTTAAGAAAGGCAATCCAGAATAAGAGGAGGCAGGCAAGAAAGGCAAGCACAGAAAGAGACAGTTTCTGGAACTGTGGATCACAGCTCAGAGCTCCGAGGGAGCTCTGCTAAGGTTTCGGTGGAGGATCTGAGGAGGCAACATGGAGTGAAGGAGAAGAGAATCTGCTCAAGGGGGGGTGGGAGGGGGTGAGGCTGTGCGAAAGAGAGGAAACAGAGAGAGGAAGAAAGGTAAAGAAAACCCAAGGCTGCTGCCTACGAATTTCGGATTCAATTGGAAGAAATCGCTCACAAGGGGGAAATGGATTCTGTAACAAGACTGACCAGCGTTTTGTCTTTGGTGCTGTCTGGCTTGTGGCATGTTGGATTATCAGCGACAAACTGTGAGTACTCAGACCTGGGGGTAGGAAGACGAGGTGGGGTCGACGCTCTTTGGAATGAGTGTCCATTTTCAGACCTAATATGCTCTGGGTAAAAAGAAAGACCGGGGCGGGGGGGGGAGAGATCGTAAGCAGTTTGATTCGACCATTCCAACCATCTCAAAAGTTAGCAGAACTGTAACGAGCTTGCTCTGCTGCATTGCCTGCCCTTATTTGTAATCATAAAGTTCCCTTAGCTTGGTGGTTCTTAATCTCAGCCAGGGATGCACGGGCCAGGAGCAAGTCTCTAGGGGCAGAGAAGCATCAGAGACAAGGAGCTCTGTAATAGCAGCAACTGCAGCTCCCACCGATTTGAAAAGTTCCCCGAACTACTCTACCCCCCCCCTTCACTGAGTAAGGGGTTAGGAAGTTTGAGCCTAAGAATTGTAGCCTAAATGTAGTTACACCAGGTGATCAATGGCTCCCTATTACAGGACGGAGGAGGGAGAGCTTTAGAACACATTCCACCCTCAAAATTCTGGTGCCTGCTAAGGAATAATGAGTATGCATTGCATTGTCCATACTTCGACCCCAGCAAGCTTACAACACTTATTTAATAGGCAGGAATTTTTTTACTCTCATAGATCTGCCCCCGGTACAGCATATTTAAAGAATCCAGTTTGTGAAACTTGAACACAAATAGCTAAACCTGTGAGAGGTTCAAGCTCAATTGCTCAGCTGCTTCTCTAGGCAAAGGAAGGGAAATTTTCCTTTCTCTGGGAACTCCCAAATGAGAAAAGATGCAATTAAGCCATCTGTGTTCTTTGCAAGGGTGGCTTACCACAGTCCCTCAAGTTTCTGGGTTTGTTCCTTCATCTTCTCTTCCTACACTGAAGCTCAGAAAATTTATTCATATTTGAACAATATTATTTTACTTTTGTAATTTGTATTATCATTTTCAGGGGGAAAGGTGAGAAGACTTACTATAGAGATCCTTCTACCTTTTTCCTTAATCATTAGAGGACCTTGCCCCAGAATTTGCATTGTAGTGCGAAGGCAGGTGGACAGATGTTCAAAGTAGAGTCAGTGTTTCTGTGATCCAAAGATTGGAAAGCTCACAATCCGTTGTTGTAATGTTTTCTCAAAGTTTGTGTTATAAAGGAAGGCAAAACAGGCTACCCTCTACATTTGGGTTGGGATTAGTGAATAAATTATTTTAGAGAATATATCGAGGCAGGTTACATTTAGGTAAATAAAATTTTTCTTCTGCCTGATTGCACTTCCTGTCTTTGTTCCCTTTTCATCTCCTAGTTTTGTTCCTTTCTCCTTGAAATTATTTCCACTGTGCCCAAAATAAAGACCTAAGAGCCTTAGAAAGAAAGTGAACTTTGCTACTCAGCTAATGTCTCTATCTTCTCGAACACTAGAGGTCAGTGTTGTCCAGTTAATGCAAAGGTGTGGCTCTGAACTCTGCTGTCCCCTTAGCACATTCTGTTATCTGGAGAGAATGGCTACTTTGAAAATCTTAAAGAAGAGAGTGAGGAATACTGATGAAATAGGTAGAGTGCACAGCATGACTTGGGCTTCTTCAAGTATCACTCTTCTTGAAAATTTCTTCTTGGAGCCTTTTTTTCTGTAAATTAATTTGACTATGGTCAATGTATTTTAATAATGTACATGAAACTAAATGGCATGGGTTTAAGAGTTCGATCTGGCATAGCCACAATATTTACAAAAGCTGCTCAGAGTATTTAAAAAGAAAGTTGGTGATAATGATCTTCAGAATTTCCCAAGTGACCATTGCATTACCCATTTACAAGTGACACAGCAATTGAGTGAGTGTTGCTTGCTAAGAATTCTAGAATCGGTTTTTTTAAGGAATAGCCGTGAGTGCTTATTGTACTGTCAAAACTGGATACATTAAGTAACAATAGATTTGCAGCAACCACTGATTCTAAAATCTATCCATATTAGTGGTCTTCAGAGCCTATAAGGCACAACTTCTCAATGCAATCACGAGTATTTCCCAGTTTCTCTAGGCTGCTGCACAGTTTTTGTTTAAATATTGGATTTGCTGGGAATGTACAATCTGCTCCCATTTATAGATATGCTTTGATGATCTAGAAATTTCCTTTCCAAGAGTTTTCTTTTAATTTAAGAGAATCATTTTTTAAAGATTATTTTTCCTACATGTTAAGGAGTAACATTAGTTTTCAAAACACATCACGTGCCCGAGTACTTCCATAGTGAACAGTTATGGATAATAAATTATAGGTGCGGGGTTTCTTAAAAAATAACTTTTGCTTGTATCTTCTTTTTTTTTAATCACTTGCTGTTGTTGTTATTACACTCTGTAGTGTGTATCTATTTGTATATGTTTGATTTTCTCATATACTGTCTCAAACATGGGTATTTCTACTTACCCAATTATAAATTGTATAAATTTCTAACTAAGCACTATGAAAACAAAGTCAGGCTAGAAAGATGCCAGCATAATATAGATATTAAAGTTCTATGATAAGAATCCAATTACCTACCAGTAGTAAAAACACCTGAAAATTCTCTCATTCTTGATTTTCAGGATATTAAACAGCTAGAGTGTTTCCTTTGGGTATATCCTAAAAGGACTGTTTAAATATAGCTCACTGTTAACCCTTTGAAACAAAAAGCTATGGCATGACTTGGGAATTTGGCTAAATGAAACCAGAATCAGTATCTAAGAAGTTCTGAAATAACTTAGAGCAAGAAATATGTACCTCTGAGAAGTTTATTGATGCTTATTATTAGAGTCACAGAGACATGTTATTGTGATAAGAATATGATAAGCTCTATTCAAGATTTTTCTCACTTGCTGAATTTCAAAAGATTTATGAGAATGTTAATCATGACAGTATAGAGATATCAGACTTTGAATTACCTGAAGCCTGTTAACAAATCAAATGAAAGAGTAATATGAGTAACAGTTGTAGTGATCATGGAGGGGCAGGAGAATGGCTATACAATATTTTCTGTGTCATCCACAGCTACCAGAAATGAAGAAACACCACCTCTTAGTTGGCAGAGTCTGGAAAAACTCTCCATTATCAAACAGCTCCTTTTGAACTTTAATGATCACTATGAAGTCACTTTCCATTTCTTTCACTTAACTATTATATCTAAAAGAGATTAACATTTTGCAACTATAAAATATAATTTAAGAACAAGAGTAGAGATTTTATGGTAAAGAACTTATGAGAATAAGATCTATTAAAACAAGTCTACTCTTACCTGTGTTCACCTAGTAAGGAATGGCTACCTTCCCAGTTGTAGTCTTCCTTTGTCTCTGCTCATCTGTCCAATTAGCTTCAGTTTTCTTTGAGCGAACCACTTTACTTTCCTGTATCCATTTATCATAAATGATATAATTTAATGAATTTCTAAATATTTTTTGACAATTTAATTTCTTTCATGTGATAACACAGACCAGTTGAAATATGACCTGTGTGTGGTAATTACTCACAACACCTAAGAGGAAGATAGATATTGGGTTTAGTTACCTAATAAGGTAGAAGACAATAGTGTTTTAAGAGTTTGAGAATTTGCATTGTACCAATTTGAAAACAATAATGAACTTTTATATTTCCCAAAAAAACCATTTCACTCATTAAAACACTACTACCATTGTCTTGTAAAGGTTACTCACTGGCCTCAGGAGCCTTGCTGTCTGGATGGAGTAAAGGACTGGATTTAATTAATAAGAAAATGTTTACTTGTAATGTTTTGTGATTGTTAACTAGAGATGCTACTTCCTGGTTATTTCATTTATGTGTGTTTGAGATTAATAAATTTCAAAGGTGGGAGACATCTGTAAACAGGATAAGAGTTCCATGTGATTTTAATTCCTACTAGAAGACATGCAGCACATTCCTCCACAAGGCTGCCCAGCAAGGTGTATTAAGTAATGTAGTTCATATGAATAAATTTCAAACGAGTAGATCTTAACCATGTCCCTAAATCAATAGTCTAAGACAATGAGAAAAATCTAAATTCCAAACAAGATTCATTTTTAAACACAAATATCTTTACAAATTATTTTGCAGTGCATGACACTAGATAGTTTGCATAGCATCTGGAGAAATTTGGGAAGGATTCTCTAAGTTCAGTCTCATAACCTTAGCCTTGCTGAAGGACATGAGCTAGCAGTTTTCCACAAACTCAACTCCTGAGTCATACCAGAAAATAGAAAATACACAAAATGTTCAGATCAAGACTTGAAACATGACCATAAATATCACATTGTTAAAAAAAAGAAAATTTATATCTAGATTTGTACCCTGGACTGAGGATTTACTTTCTTTTATATTTTTAATTAAAAGCTTTAGAGGGATAAGGAAAATGTTAGAGAGAAATTTAGAATATACTACTGTGTACACACAAGCAGAGGACACTGTCACAAAGGGCACTTCTGTAGACATTCTATACCATAAGTCTGTCAATGTCAAGCCATAGTTCTGTTTAGGTAATGTTATGAAGCCCTGTCATGTGTGGCATGGTGCAATTCATCTGTCTTTACATAATAATCTAAATCTCATCTTTAATATCACTCATAACAAAATACAGAGCTCCTCATTTTATAAATGTACTACACTGTCTCATATTTCTTGTATTTATTTGTATGCATTGCTTATTAATTTGGTCTACTGTACCATTTTCCCTTAAAAATTTTACTTGAAGTCTTCCATACACACACACACACACACACACAAACACACACACACACACAAACACACACACATTTTCTAGTGTAGGATGTGCTAGAACTGTCTTGGGGACAGGGAAAGAAAAATGGAGATAGTAAGAATCAGAAATGCTTTGTATTTATGAAATTGTCATAGAAAAATATATTTTTGAATTTTCTGTCTCAGTAAAGTCCCTATTTATCTCTTTTTGTATCACTTTCCATAATTCTTTTTGTCTCACCTAAAATGCATTACCTTTTTGTCATGTTTTATTTGCATTACTGTATCCAGTGCCTAAAAGACTGA